TTTCAGATTTCAAATTACTTTGTAGGTTTAACTCAACATTCTTAGTAATGTCTCACTTTTTTGTTCTTATTACTCTTTCCAAACTCTTTTTTTATTTAGGCAGGTCTAAAACCAGGGATTATTCGGCTATTAAGAAAGATGTCAGATATCTAGGGTCAAAGGAGATGTGAGTAAAGTCTTTATGCTAGGGCATGGCTACTCAGTGCTCTTGGACTGCAGCTTCCGGACATCCAGGTCATGGCCACTGGCCATGCTGACTGGGACATAAGGGAATTGTTCTCCAAAACATCTGGGAAGCACCAAGTTGCTTATCACTGTTTTAAACTGTCCAAACAGAAACTGTAGAAAAGGTTCCAATTTGGACTGGGACCATGGCAGAAGGGAAAAGTGTACTAATCTCTCCACCTTGTACCAGAATCCTAAAGAACAAGACTGTCAAAGCCCCCACACCAGGGTGAGCAGCTTGTAACCATTCATACCTTTTGACGTACAGTTCTCACAGCCCTCACTATTAGCTACGTTGCCTAGGGCTGATGGGATTTCTAGACCAAAACACCTAAAGGGCTATGAATTACATTTCCCTGCTTTATACTGTCACAAGTAACTCTGTGGTGGGTGGGTCTACAAAGTACCAGACAGTGTAGAGGGGAGCTGTCTCTCTAAGTCCTGAAGCAGAAGTGTAGAAAAGGAGAGAAATAATGAGCCCCATTAAGTTACTCTGCTTCACTCTGGAGATGAACTTTCTAAAAAAACAATAAAAAATAAAATAAATAAAGTAGTAGAAGCACATGAAATGGATAATCCTATTAGCCTTCACTTAGCTACAAAAACCTTAGTACTCTGAACCAAAAAGGAGTCACAGCTGAACTAAAATCTAAAACACACATTTCTTTAGATAGATAGATAGATAGATAGATAGATAGATAACATCTTGTTTAGAATAAAGTATTCCACTGGGCAAAGATGACTAAATACTCCCTTCTGCAGACAAACATTTTTCATTAAATAGAAAATAACACAACCACTTTTGAAAAAGTTGCAAATGAACAAACGCAGGTGTGGTTAACACTAAACAAACAAACAAACAACAACAGGCAAATAATACCGCATGTTTCTCTGTCTGAATGTGAGTGAAAAGCAGACAGCAAGGCAAGAGTTAATTGGAACTATAGAGGAAGGGAGGAGTGTTGTCTGGGGAGGAAGGCTAACGGAGAGTTAATCAGGGATCACATCCAGAGCCAGGCATGGATAAGCCTCACTAATGAGGCTCAAGTACCCTGCAGTGGCTTTCAAACCTAACTGGCTTCAAACGATGCCACCCCATGACAGAATGCAGCTAGCCATACGAAGAGAGTGATTAGAATAAATGACTACAGTAATTAACTTTGATTTGAAGCCACCTGACTGGAAAGAGAAGCTAGGAGCTGTTTAGCTGAACTCTTCCTTGTAAAAAGGGGAAGCTTTCCTTTACTCTTGTGTTTGTATGTGTTAGGAGGGCTTTTCCTTTCAAATAGGTATTGGATGGCACTAATGAAAAGCAGCTTTCATTCAAGAGCCTCCCCATTCATTCTGAAAGGAGGAAAGAAGAAAAGCTTCAAAGGGGAACTAATTTACTTCACCCCAATCACCTTTGGTGAGTTTAGAGTTTGCATTGCCACCACCATCACTCATATGGGTTTTCTCTCTCTCCCTGCCCCCACCTCAAGAGTACCTGTAAAAAAATCAGATTAACCAGATCCTTGAAACTTTAGTAATTGCATACACAAGGAGTTAATTTTTCAAAAATACAAGCAACATAAAGATACATAACTTCACGTCAGTTTCATTAATGCACAGATTCCTTTCTGAGCCAGTGTTTATTCCATGTAGTAATACCAATTTTCTAGCATTGTGAAAAAATGCAGAAAGATGCAGCGTTTCAAAATATGGTCACTACTGCCCAGTGCCCTGAAGCTTCTCATGGAATGATTTAATCCATTCCATTACTACCTGCTGTTTTGCAAGTAATTAGCAGTCATTGTACCAATGTTGTCCTACACCTGCTGACTAAACTCTTGCCACAAAGTTTTGCCAAGTAGCATCTACAGTGTAGTAGTCTGAGCAATTCGCCAAACATTTATGCAAAGACTCTGATTTATTTGACAGCTTTACACCTTCAAGGAACAGTATAATTAAATGTTTTGACAGCTAAACAAAAACTGTATAAATTTCAAAGCTGTTTAAATGGTTAGTGTATCTAACATCAAAATACTATGTGGATTAACCCAGCTTCCAAAAATGTCCCTTTAAGGAAGGTTAAAAATAGATTACAACCATTTTTATCATCCACATATAAAATTCATTCTGATTTTCAATTGTGATACTATTTATTTAAAAATATACCTATATCTTACTTTTAAATCAATAGAGCATATCACAGTACTAAAATAGTTAGGAGTAAGAAGAAAATATTTCTGCTGCTCCAGCCACTTTCAGATATGCATGGATGCACAGTATAAAACATATTTCCAATTTGGCCCCATTTCCAGTTTCAAAGGACCCCTATGAATCTGTCTTATTCCAAGTTTGACAATTGGTCCATCTAGCTTAGCACTGTCTATAGAGACCAGCAGTAACTTTCCAGGTTTTCAGACAGTAGTATTTCGAAGTCCTACCTATAAATGCCAAGGACTGTATCTAGGATATTTTGCGTGCAAAGCATGTGTTCTAGTACTCAAATATGCACCCCAGCCCACAAAAAGTCCAACAAATAATTTCTTATTAAACAGAAGTGGGCTTCTAATGAAGAACTAACTGGTAAAAAGGCAGTGAAGAGGGAACTTTAAATAGGAAAAATCCACTGTAGTTACACCAAGGCTGTTTAAAAAGATGCAATTAAAATCAATTCATTAAAACAAATGGGTTCAAGCCACAATTTGCCTGTTTATAGGCAACTCCTCTTTCGTCCAGGCCATTATGAAATTCTGTCTTAAAATACAATGTTTAATGAATGTATAATTATACAACAATTATTTAAACATTGACGTCTTTAAGCAAATGTACCAAAACATTAAGGGCAGTGCTCTGTAACACAGATGAAGTGTCTTACTGCTTTGAGGGAAACTGTAATCCAACTAAAGGTAACAATGACCAGTTGTTTATAAAACTATTGAAATGTTTGGGAGCTAGTTCACATTCTCATGCTATGTTTATATTTCCATTTATCATCCATCTACTTAAGAAGAAAGCTGAAAAGGAAGAGCAGCCCAAGAACAAAATCTTGTTTAAACTATACATGAAGACGTCAGGTAGCTTAACAAATTGAACCAATGCCGGAATGCCATGTATACATCTAAAAACATTATAGTATTACATCGTTTTCCTTGACCCTTCTCTTTCCTCTTGCTCTTTGCCCAGCTTCTAAACAGCCTGGCTTATACTTCATTTATAATTATTTTCCAAGCCTCTCTTCTATTCACATTCAGCTTAAAATATCGTGCAGTAATGGAATGCCTATCAAAATGTTAAAATATATGATGCATAATTTGCATTTGGTGGCTATCAATCAAAGGTCATATCTGACCTCTACTTAGCCTACTAATTAAGGTTTGCCTTTAAGTACTAAAGTTAGGGAGAAAATGCTTATATTGAGGCCTACTGCTGAAGCCGAAGAATATTGGATAAATGCGGGTTGGTCATAAGAAACTAACTCCATCTGGAGTACAAACAATGTTATTGCTAACCAGTTCTCATGATGAAAACTTGAGATAAGAACATCAATAAAGTTTAAAAAGTATATTAGTATTCTTATTAGGATTATATCTTTAGTAAAGATTTTTCAAATGTGTACAAAACAATAGAACCAACTTCTGTATGTGGAAAGAGTGACACAACCATACAAAATAACCAGCTAATTCCATGGTAATAAGAGCACTTCAGAATACTTTGGGTTGCAAGGAAAACTGCTTCTTAATACTGTCCTAAAGTAACACTCTTCTAGCTGCATTTTTCATAATGTTAACAACATTTAACAATTCCCCAAAATTCTACCTTCCATCCAGACATGTAATGTGTGGCACAAGTTAAACAGTCAGCTATTGCACCAACCTTTCGCTGGAAAATTTGGAAATGGCAGGGGGTGGGATGCAGTGATGAATCTGCTTTAGCATACTGACCCTGAACAGGTGATTCATGTGGTTGCCACTCATGATTTAACCGGGGCATCACATGCAGAGATGTGCTAAACTGTCATGGTGGTAAACTTTCTTTCTGAGTATGCATATAATTTATCTGTGTAAGAATTATTTTTAAACAACTGTTTTAGCACACATACATTAATGCAGATACCATATCAAAGTTAATTCCTAAGTCCTTTAAAGGGGATACCAACTTGCCACTGGCAAATGGCAGAAGGAACATAATTTCTTCATAATTTTGACAATACTATTACAATAAAGACAGAGTTGTCCACAAGAGAAAGAAAAAGTGGAGTTCAGTCAAGGCATCCTATTTAATCTGAATGATACCCAAAATAAGGGAAATAGTAGTTATGATAGGTGAATGCATAAATACAAGACTGTTGCAACCCAACTGTCTATTCCATCAAAAATCTACTGTCCATCCATTTCCAGATGGATTCCCTTCTTAGTCTGTGGTGCGTGCGCGCGCATGTGCACAGGCACACACATTAAGGCAGGAATCTCCGATGTCTCCCAAACTCAGGATGCCCACAAAGCTACTTCCCCCTCTCCACAAGTGAATTGAGCAACTTCTACAGTCACTTGTATGGGTGAGGGGTCCTCCTTGTAAAAAATGGCTGGGGGAAGCATTCACCCCAACCAAAAGCCCTCCGAGCAACAGGATTCTTTGCAACATTTCCTTTCAGGGAACCTTTTCCTACCCCATGAAATGAATGAGGAAATTGTTCTAGTCTATTTTGGCATGAGGAAGGAGAAAGCCAGAGGGAAAGAGAAGCCATAAACGATGGTGTTAATATGTTGCATATCTTTTTGGTTGCATAGCAAAACTGAGATCCCAGCTCAAAGACCTTCTCCTTTTTGGTTCTCTTGCTGCAATATCCTCTGCCTGGTGCTCTGCCTGGTGCTGCAACTGCTCAGGTAAGAAAAAACTTTTTCATCCAGTTTCAGAAACATTTTTTTCAACTTTTTTTTCCAGCTCTCAAAACAGGGAATGTGCTTTTAAAAACAGAAGTCATTTTTTTAAAAATCCATAAACAACTGTGAGGAATGAAGAGTGCACAATAATTGCCTCATGTAGAAAAGCTGAGAGAGAGAGAGAGAGAGAGAGAGAGAGAGAGAGAGAGAGAGAGAGCGCGAGCGCGCACACGCTCAAGTGAGCCCGAATTGCAGGAGAAATAAAAGCCAGAGAGAGATTGTAAAGGATCTGAAAAAAGAAGAGGAAAAAGAGTCAGAGAGAAGAAGGGAAACCAAGAACGAAAGAGAGAGAGAAGAGATGCTGGTGAGAAGGAAGGAAGGGAAAGAAGAAAAGGAGGAGGAGCTAGAAATAGAGAAGAAAGTAAAGGGCTGGGAGGGGCTTTCAGGAAAACTGCATACACAGATAGGATGCACATTCATGCACACACAAAAAATAAAGGAATGTTTCCCACATTTTTGTAATTGGCCCTCCAAGCACCTGCAATAACAAGCCTGTGGCGGCGCCCAAGGCAGTTGTTCAAAATAGGCAACATGTCCATGGTCACAAAAAGGTTGGTGGCCCCTGCTTCAAGGACTAAGAAGTCTGGTAGGACATATTCTTTCATAGACTAGAATATACTCATCAGATTCACTGAATATTTATCACTTCTTTTTTTCAGAGAAAACATAAAGTGTAGCCTCTTTAGTTATTTATACTTTTAGCAAGATCTTGACATGGGTACAGCTCTAAACAAACATAAATATATGAAACTTTGTAATTAATGTGTGCATGCAATTCTACATTTACCAAAATGTAGTACAAACTTGGACATGCTTAAAGCTTCTTCAATCAAAAATAACACAATGATTTACCAAACATAGACTTAAACATGCAAAAGAAATTCTGCACTTGCTGAGACGTAACTTTATTGTAATTATTAGTAAATTAAAATGCATCTATGTGAAAACATAACTAAGAGAAGAAGGGTATTATTACATAGCAATTACAGACATTGCGAGTGGATTTCATGTATATTCAAGAGAAATTGTTCAAGGAAAGCTAGCATTCTTTGTGTGGCAAAAAAGAAAAGAAAATGTAAGGAAGTATGTAAAACACTTGAAATACATTTAGTTTAGACTGGAGTGGAAGTGGAAACAAGCTATAACTATTCCATATCAATGTCTATTCTATGCATTGCTTTGAATCCAAAGTTCAGATTTTGGGTATTATTTTACCATCCTTACCCCTGTTAACCCATAACTCTTAATGCAAACTGTTTTAGGGAGGGAATCAATATAAAAACAGCTGTGAAGTTTCATGGAGTTTCAGCGTTCAGAAGTATAGAAATTAAATAATCAAATAAATAAATATGCACTTTTCTCAGGAATGCAGTATTATTTTCAGAATCATCATTGCTTATAATACTGAGATTGATATGTGCACTTTGTGGCTTTTAATGAATTTTTGTTTCAGGGTCATTGTATAAAAATGGCAAAAAGCAGCCATTTAGTACAAATATTTTAAACACTTCAGCACAAAGTTTATATCCAAATAATGACTACTAATATCATCAACTAGCTACCCAGCTGTATTTGCTCATGTAATGTTTCACACATGGAAACCAAGATGCAAGATTACCTCATTTATGGTAACACTCATAAACTACATAGTACACAGTAAACATGTCTGCCCAGCAAATTAAAATATCACTGGGTTATGTAGCAGCTGAAGCTGTCCAGGACCTGTTTATAATCCAATAGAAACAGATATTTGTCTTTAATTTTAGAAATGGGTAAAATCAAATTTCTTTTACTGCATTGCAGCTTGCTTGTCCTGGACTTTCTGCTCTGCAACAAAAGACAGGCACCAATAGCTTTTCCAAGAGGCACATTATAAACAGGCTTAAATTAACTGAATTATAACTTTAAACCAACAGTTCATTTATAATTGGCTAGGAAAGGAAACAGTTTTAAATCATTTTCTTGAGCCAACTGAAATCTGTTAGAAAAAATTCACCTGCCCCAGACAACAAAATTCCTACATTCTTATGAGGTGAGCCAAAACATATATAGGTTTGATTCACTTTCAGTCATCTTTTATGACAACTAAATTTACCAGTAAATTTAATGCAAATGTTTTTCTTCTTAAGTACACTGAAAATTCAGTTAAATTGTAAGTGGACTTTCCCTACCCTCACATTGAAAAAAAGTTGTCAATAAATTCCTGCTTTTCCTAATATCAGTAAGTCAGCTTGGAAACTGGAATTGCACCTTCTTTAGGTGGTAGATGGGGTTCTTGAAGGGGTTTATATGGAAAAGGGGGTTCTCACATACCCAGACTGTACAAGGGCAGTACTGGGAAGAAGGACTTGGGGGAAGGCAGGGATGTAGATGAGGAGTTAAGAGCAGTGCCACCAAGATGAGATATATTCTCATGATGCCTCAACCTCCTTCCCTTCCACTGAGATGTGCTACAGTTAAACACCTGAAATCAACCATCTTACTGCTTTGCAGGGTGGGAGAGCCTGAAGGTGAGCTTTGCTTCTGCATGTTCCACACTCTCTATAGGATACCTTTAATTTGGAGGATTACAAGTAGGACTCCACCCTTTTAATTTTTTATTTAAAATAGAATCTACCAAGCTCGAGCAATTCATAATCAAACATACAATATAATTTTAGAAGAAAAGCTCTGCCTTAAGTTTGTATTTTCATTCTGTATTACAGTAAATAACTTCTTAACTGTGCCTTCCATTATCAGGCCTTTAAGTTTGGGACCCACAAAAAAAAATAACTGTTTAGCTAATAAATCCTCCAATTCTTTACATTTTCCCCTGTGCTGAGTGCAAAACACACAAAACTGTAGCTCCTATTGATCTGTAACATCTTACTGTAGACACTTCAGAAACTAACACATGAAGGAGGAGAACTGAAGGCATATCATTCGCCACAATAGCCCTCACAGACCTCCTTTCAATAAATAACCCATTCCCATTTCTCCTTGACCAGAACGGCTGCCACTCTTGGCTTTTCAAGAGCTAATGTTTGACATCTCTAGCTGATTTTCAGAACTGTGCCAACTTAGATGAGTGTATACCAAACAACTTTTAATAGTAGTTAATTTATGATAGAGCACCTACTATTGTCAGAAAGACCTGGTGTAGTCATTATCTTGGAATTCATTTGTTCTGACAATATTTGTAGCTGCTAAAACAACTACATAATGCTTACCTAGGAAGACAGATAAATTGACTGCTTAAGCTTCACAATAATGTCTTTTTGCCTGTAGCATACTTCCTCCCCTGGACAATTTTTGACAGTCGTTCTCACCATCCCCCAGCACTGCCAACATTCCTTGCTCAGATAATTTAGATAAAGAGATAGGTCATTGCTCTTTGCTTAAAAGATCCTTCTCTCTATTCACCCTCCCAAATATGTACAATATCTCCTCTTATGCAATATTGCTAGGCAGACTCTACCCAGAAAACAAAATTTGAGTAACTTATTTTTTCACTTAAAGAGAACCAATGTTTACAAAAACTAAACATTGAACATTTCTATTTAAAATTGAGACTTTATTGGTACTGAGTGTCTACAAGCCTAATGGAGCCTGAAATGTGTGTCTGGTATTTTTGCATCCAACCCTTCATATACATTGCAAATATGTAAGGATATATTTGTATTGTACATAATGTTGTTGAGCTACAAGTATATAATACATATGCAGTATGGAATGAATAGAAATTCCAAACAACTAACCCTTCAAAATTGTCTACTCTTTCTCCTCAGCCTCTTGATTGACATGACTTAGAACCATAATGACTAAAAGGTCAGCGCATGACAGTTGAGCACTCATGACCCCAAATTAAGAGGTATTACCCTTTATCTACTAATCAGTGAGTCACAAATGTACCACTCGCCCCAAGAACTTTCAAAATTCCTGATGTCTGTTCAGACACAGTTGCTTACTGAGTTTCTTTCTCTTTTCATGCCAAGCTCTTTTAGTTTTGCCTACATATTGTCATTATAACCTCTTCAGCGCCCCTCCCCCCACAAATCCAAACCCAATCTCCCAAAGTGTTCTACAATATAAAAGCACTAAACTCTGAACAAAAGATCCTTATATGCAGGCTCACATCTTAAATAAACAGGACCATGAGAGAAGAGCAGCCCTCAAACATCCAAGCCCCACTTTTCCAGACAGTATTCAGCTCACTGAGAGAACAGAGCTGCTCAGCATGCTGGAAGCTTGAAGCATTTCATTCCCATTTCATATGCTCTGAACTGGGTATGTGCAGAAAAACGAGCAAGGTCTGTTCTTGCATGCTAAGCGTGCACGTCAGCTTTTCCAATTCCCTCTTTTGTGGAGGGACATGTGTCCATACCATTCTTTGCCCAGACTTTACAGCATGGAACTACTTGACTCCACTTATCCCTAAGACAGGGTAGCTGAAGAATAGTGAGAAGAGTAGGCATTAAATTGAGGAGCAGAAGTTAGAAGGGGGGAGGAGGGAGGCAGGAAGCTGAAGAATGTGAGAAACCTATGAGGAAGAAGGTTGGAGAAAAATCACACACTCAAGAGCAGTAAAAAGTTGCTACTTTAAAGAGAAGGTTGACATGAAAGGGAGTAATTGAGATAGAAGAACAGACCAAAAGAGTTGAGAGAAAAACTTGCTAACATTGTTAATTATGAGGATGGTTTTTTTTTTTTTGGTTTGCTATTTGCTATACTTCTCTAATATAGTGCGAGGAAAGGAATAGGAACATATTTAAAGATCTTTAATGTAAAAAAATGGTTCATAGCCTTTGGCATTATAGAAAGCATCTGCCATACACTCTGTGCAAAATGCTTTGGTTGTTTAAATCTTTGCTGTATTTTATTTGTTCAAGTCACCCAACTTGATGCTGTATCAATATGCCTTTTCTAGAAGACTTGCTATAAAGAGCAAACTGGGAGGGAAACAG